CGGCCAGTATAAGACGTTAGCCGAGCTCCCTTGGTCGATCAGTGTCTTGTGAACCTCCCAATTGGCGACATTCACGGCGATGACCATTGGATCATCCTGGTTAGGGCAGACGCCAGTGTAGTCTATAATTTCTATTTCGTTTATTATTTTAATAAAATTTAATTATATATTTTTATAATTTTTAATCAAGTGAATGAATCACTATGAACTAAAAATATTTTTAAAATATATTTTTAATTAAAAGTATATTTTTGGATGAATGATTAAATTAAATGTTTATTTTTTAAAATTAATTAAATTAAAAATATGTTTTGAAATCTTATGATAATTATTCTTTGGTGATTTTGAGTTAAATATTCTAAATTAATATAATAGGAAATTATTATTATAATACTTTTAATTCTAAGGAAAAAATATAATTTATTCGATATTTAAACATATGAAGGACGGATAATGTAATGTAATACTTATATTTTTCATAAGAGAAAAATGTAATTTATATTAACAATGTTAAATTAAATAAATTAAATTATATATTTTAGCATAAAAAGAGATAGCAGTGTAATACTCACATTTCTCATAAAAGTAACAATTTACTCAAAATAAAATAGTCCTGAATGGTATTTTACCTCACCTATATGAATCTAATGCAACACTAGAATGAGTGGAAGTGGTCAACCACCTAGAATGAAAGAAATATTTTAGTATAATATTACATTCATTCATTTATGTAAGATTTAATTACTTAATTTATCAAGATTAAGAAAAATAGTTAATTTAGTTGATAATAACAAATTTATTTTATTTATATCCATATTTTTCAACTAATTAGAGTATGCGTACTATATTATTTCTCTCAATTAATATTTATCTTTCTTTTAATCAATTAAAGTGCACTCTTTAAAAAAATTTAAGATAAAACACTTTAATTAAAGGTATTTTAATCTAAAAAATAATTAATATATGAGACAATATTAATTACATCTTATATAAATAAATAAACAATTGTTCTAAGTTGGATTTTATAAATAAGAATGAACTAGTATAATTTATAAAATAAAAATAAAATAATGACATATTTACCTAGATTTGACTAATATTAATAGAATTTATAATCTAAAGAAGTTGTGTTTAATATAAAATTTAGAAATGATATGCAAGTAATCATAAATTAAATCAAAATATTGATTTCACAAAAAAAAAATGCTTCAAATTCTACAATAATAGGCATAACACAATATGTATATAAATATAAAATAATATTAACTAAAAAATGATTAACACCTCGATTAAATTTACCACTACATTATAGACAAACAAAATAATAAACACTATAATTTATCTTAAAAAAAAGACTAAATTATCACTCATTTTTTAAAATATTTTATTGTTTGGAATTTATTTTATAATATTTTATTTATGCTTTTTAATTTTTTGATAAATTTATTTGTTTGATTTTGACATACTTTTATAATTTGTTAAAATGATTACAATGATACTTGTCCAGTTGTGATGGCATCTTAGCTTGCATGAACTTGAGATGATGAGCAAGGGAAAGGACGCCTACTCCAACGATCAAGTCCTTCAAAGGTGATGCGTGATTTAGAGAAGGAATAAAGTAGAATGGACGAAAATGGAGAGTGGATGAAGTGTTTGATGAAAGGTTTGAGAGGACACTCTAGGATTTGGCTCACTTCAAGGTAGATGAAGACCACTTTTAGGGTTTTGCTCTCAAGGTGGAGATAGGATGGGTGGTGGCCGGATTTAGCCAAGGGTGACTAAGGATAATATAAAGGCAAAAATGTTCTCTTTATATTTAATATTCAAAGTATTTACAAGGTGTAGTGCATTGGGTATTTATAGGAGTAGAAGGCATCTAAGGTTGCATTTGGAGAGTGCATGGCCAAAATTCATAATGTCAAATGCCCTCCAAATGAAATTCAAATTAACTCTAGAAGCAACTTGGTGGCCAAGGATGGAATCTTTGGATTTAGTTAGGTTACATCTAAGTGCATGATAAGACCATGCAACCTTTGCCCTCCACTTGAACTTAAGCCTTTCTAACACCAAAAATAGGTCCAATAGCCACAAAAATTACGTCTAGGTTTTTGTTCCCACCCTAATCAAATACTTTAACTTAAGAATAAAATCCTATGACTAAAATACCCATAATATAAGGGTAAAATTGAAAATACAAGTAAAATAAATCTTATGTTTAAGATACCCCAAAATACAAGAGCAAAAACAAAAAATTAAAGACAAGGGCAAAATAGGCATAAAAATAAATTCTAGGCTACTAAAGCTTAGGAGAATGATTAGTGTATTTTAATCTTGAGAAACATGTCTTCTAGAATTTTGACTTCACTATCCTCCTCCAATCTCCTAGCCATGGATGGTCCTCCATCAAGTTGTATCAATTTCTCTCCACATTATTTATCACATTAATTATGGAGAAATAAACAAAAATGTTATTATACAAATTATTGTAAGAACTGTGAATATCATAACTCATTTAAAATGATGTTACTGTCGATTGATTTGATAAATCACTCTAGAAAAAAGTTAGACCATATATATAGTGCATGAGATAACATGCTTCCGAAACACTCGAGGGTAAGGTTTAGACGCATGATTTTCAAAATCCAATCCATATATCAAGGAATCAACACACATTGTCATTACAGGTTTAAGGTCCTATTGTATTATTTTGGTGGTGCAAGGTGAAAACGAAATCAAAACATACCACAGGAATTCAGTTCCCTTGTGTAATAATGTGATGAAGAACTTTGCACCTGGATGGTTTCCCAAATATTCAATCACAACAGAAATAGATTGAAAGATTGGTTACAGTTTTGGGGTGATGCTACTAGAGATCATATGCAGTAAATCAAGACTTGTTGTGGCAATAGCAATTTAAGGACGTAAATTCGTAGATTCGACATATTTCTAGAGTCAAGGGAAGTAGCAAAGTAGCTAAATTGGAAGAAAATAATACGGCAAAGAATGACAAACAGGATACAAAAGCTTGTGATGGTAGCAACTTGGACTTTTAGGAATTTACTGTGTATTCTGAAGTTATAATGGTCTCACAAGTTAACAAAATAGACAACAAATTCATATCCTATAACGCATGCTGATAATAATATCAATGACAATTATCAAGAAAATAGACACAAGAATTCATTAACTTACATGATTAAAACTACTGAAAGAAAATTTGGATAAGATAGACCTGCATCAGTAAACAAGTTAATGAACTTGATATTGAACCATCTTTAAGACACTATTCCCAGTGCCATCCGATTCTTCAATGCAATCAGTAAACTGTACTGTGAATGAGTATGCAAAATTAAGGAATGATAGTCCTTTGTTCATGTGATCCTTTGTCTACACCTTCAAGGCAGCCCTTGCCATGTCCAAGGCACCATCAAAGGTTTGGTTTCCGCCAATAAATCCACTCATATGCACGAAAACACAGCCTGGAATACCAGACTCCTTTGACAGTTCTTCATCCCTTAAACCTCGCCACTGCGAGGGTAGAGCCTTTCGGCTCTCAAACCGGTCAGGAGATACTGCAACTGCCTGCACTCGCCAGGACTTGCTTCTTTCGTCCTGTTAAACATAGGGACTCAGGTATTTTATCAACAGAACTTCAATAATTAAAAATCTAGCAATTAGAAATTGGTATTTCAAGTATGTCCCTGCTTCTAGCCCGGCCCCAGATAGGGTCCATTGAATGCATAAGTACAGGTTTACAGGTTTAAACAACGACTAAATTTGACCCACTTTACATGGAAGAACACCTCAGTATTTCATGGTCCACAAGCCTTAGGATTTTTTGTCACTTGGAGATTGCCTACGAAGGAAATTTTTAGCAGCAAGAATCTAACTTATGCCTTTCAAGACAACTTTTTTATCCATACTAATTGAACCGACCCCAATTAATATTCAATAAAAGCAGATATTGATACTTAAAAAGAGATGTACGATTTTCCAAAAAATTATATATTTACATGTGTGTGTCAGTAATGATATAGCCCAGATAGTTCCTTTTTCTCTCTGCAAATTACTGAAAATTAAGGGTGGGCAAGAAACCCATTTGGCACATTGTGCTAATTGAATATTAAGTATTGGATAATCCTGACAAATTGAATATATTGTTGCTAATTGTCATTGTGTAAGATCCTATATATAAAATATAAAATGGGAATACAAATTGGGCAATTGATCAACTTTTCGATTTGTACAAGACAAACGTGTTGAAGTTGAGGTTGGAGTCTTTGATATTGTTTAATGAATTTCATACAAATAAACATTAAAATGAATCCAACATCTGGCAAGAGGTTTAAACATTGGACATACTAAATAGCCCATTTTTTTAATTATTCAGAACTTCTTGTTGAAATTCTGCTGCCAACTAATTATGTTAATGACAAGAGATGAGAGCACGAGCTCTATCGGACCAAAACAAAGCCAATAAAAGCATAACTTAAATTTACCAGTCATTCTAAATGGTAACCCATGAGATGACATTTTTTTGTGAGGCTCTTTGATGACTAGAAGCGTAGAATAGAATGGAACCTAGAGAAAATGAAAATAAATGCCTACCTGATACAGAACATATTTGATTGGAGGGTCAATTTTCATCTCCCCCTCAAGCTCGAATAAGTGAAGCTTCCACTGCAGAAAACAAAACCAAGTTAATAACATGTAGCTAATACATGCAGGAATTAGTACAGGGGAGATATGTTTCAGATGACCATTCTAGATCATAAGCAGCAGCCTGTTGATGGTGTTTATACTACCTATAATATTAATTTTAACGGGAATGTAAGCAAATAGTCAGCTCAACATACTAACCCAGCTGTCACACAACAGCTAAGACCAAACTGCCAGGAATTTGGTTTGCTCCCAATTACTAGTGCTGTTAGGGTACAAATCACAAAATGCTGGCTTAAACTCATAACTCTGCTAGGGTGTAGAACACAAGTATGGCCTACCGCAGGAACTAAAAATTATGTGTTCAGTAAACAGATTATGATTTCCTGCTTCCATTAATTATATTTACTCTAAATGTTAGCAAGAAAAAGTTTATGATAATGAAATAAGAAATATTTGAGTTATTTTCATAAAGAAATGTTGAAGATGTTAGTCTAAATACACATTCTAGCATCAAATTGTGATTTAAGGATTAACTTGATTAATAAAAATAAATGGGATAAGAAATTTTGTTTCTTGAATTGCACCATAGTTAATGGTAGCATGAAAATTTGTGTGAGAAATGCTCTAGAATATTTGTCAACATGATCAATATTGTGGCTGACATAGATGTTCAAGATTTAAATCATGATTTGTTAATAATATGGCAGTTGAATAGAAATAAGTTGAAAGAATCAAATTCAAATATCATACAAAATGATTAAGAAGGGGGCAAGAATTTTAAACTCACAGGACAAAATTTAGTCAAAACTAAAATTTCTCCAGTAGGATCAACAGTCTGTCTAGCCAATATGGTCTCCATTACAATTGACCTTGCTGGTAACCAAGAATTTACATGATATCGAACACTCTGCAAGGGGAGATATCTCAGATGACAACAAAGAAAAATGTAAAACAGGCAAGAAAATATTCAAAATTACTTACTCATGTTAAAGTTTAAAACAAAAAGTGCATGAGCAGTAAAGACTCACATCCAGAAACTCACTGCCAGCAAGAGCCATGGCACGTTGAAAGGCCTCATTTTCTTTCTCAGGTGACTGATCAGGATCTGTCCAATCCAAATTTAGCCTTCCTACTCTTGAGGATAAGTGAGTGTTGTTCACATATTTTGGAGGCTGGTCTGTATCATACTGATTGATTCCATTGTCTATAGCATCAATTGCCTGATATAATTAAAAAAGCATTATTATTAATATAAAATTATACCATTAGAAACAAGTTTTGTTTCACTAATCAGACACTTTAGAATGACTAACATACCCCACATGCACCATTAATCCCATAAGCCATTCTGTGGCCATTTATCAAATTAACCCAAGAACATGTGATTCATAGTTGAGTGTCCCAAAACATAAGCCAAGTCTAAAGTTCTCTTTCAACCAAGCCTTTCAGTAATGAATATCAAATAATGAAGGACTAGTCCACAGTATGAATGCACAATAGCCAGACATATACCTACGTACCAAAGAAAAAAAACTTATAGCAAAAGCCCTAGAAGTTGATAAGGCATCAGACCAACCACAGACCAATTATTTGGGAAGTCTATTCTAGGAAACATAGGACCTAGTTTTAATAATTACTGCACCTGTACTGTATGCAAGCATAAATGGTTCCATCCCATGTATCTATTAGGTATTGACATATTTCAACTAAGAAAAACAAAACATGCATTACAAAACACCAGAGCCTAGATATAATTGAGTTAAATGCAAAATTTAATTCTCCAAGTTCCTTGATATTATTTCTCATTTTATTTCCATCATGCTAAGTTCAAAACTAAATATGACAAAGATGGAAGATAGATTATACTTGCAAACACTCAATATCAAGATGCAAGAAAAAATGAAGATTGTGTTAGTACTTGAACCACAATTAGAGATGTTTAAACCAGCAGAAATAAGGATGGACAGAAGAATCAAATAGACCAGCTCTGCTCTATTAAAGTCAGTTAATTATTTGGGTTGATATGAGAGACAGAGAATGTAGAGGGAGTTAGTTGGTTCTTGGGCATTGGAGAAATACCAGACTCTCAATCCCTCTCTTCAGTTGTATACTTGTAAGCTCCCTATTGCTCTGCATTTTGAGCTAAGTCATTCAGAGACAAAGAAATGCAGAAAGTGGTAGTGGTTCTAACCTTGCATACATGGTTGACTTGAGACCAAGTTTTGCAGAAGGTGCACATAGAATCAGGCATAATTATAGCATCCAATTAAAAGTTCAAGAGCACCCCTTTGATAACAGAAAATCAAGATCATCCCTTTATCCAATTTCGTTTTTAGATTTGTTCATCTTTTTTGAAGTTTAAAACCTTCTTGGTAATGCACTTACATTTGTATCTTTTCTCTATCTTTTAAAACTTTTCAGTTACACACTAAGATCTTTTAAAAACTTTCAGTTATTCACTACCCCTCCCCCCTATTGAATTTGAATGTTAGTGACAATGACAATGAATGATTATTAATATTAATTATGACCATGTCTTTACTCTTTAATAGTGTAATTTTCTATTTTTCATTGTTTACATGATGTATGATATAAAATTATAAATTATTTATATTCAATATATTGTTTTCTAGACTTCACAATAGTAGCCATCCTGCTATAGCATTTTTAGGGGTGGCCGCTTTGCATCACTATCCAGGATTGACTACTTAGATTTTGACTTTATCTAATGCAGAGGAGTCTTTTCAATATTTTTTTCCCCTTCTGTTAGTTCCTATTCTATGAAGAAGTATCTATCAGGATGTTTGACCCCTCTCAGCATCCACTTTCTGAAGAACATAAGGGGAACATAATAACAAGTCTCCTCTCATCAAGTCTCTTTAACCCAGATTTCACAATAAGGAGAACATAGTAATTAAATTTAACCAGTGTATGGAAGAAACTAAACTACCCAAGATTCTAGCAAGTATACATGATTGGAGACAGGGATAAAGGAAAAAAAGAAATTTAAAATTTATTACCTCCATGAAGCTTTTGTAAACAGCCAAATATATGTGATGCACATCTCGATGTTCCTCGTCTACCTTAAGTTCTTTAGCTATAATCTCTTTTCCAAAATGCTGCAGACAGAAATCAGAAGTTAACCATAATTATTAAGGTATATCCACATTTAGAATGAAATTTTCCGCATAATACCAAAACATTTGCAGATGAAGTAAATGACATGGGCCAGAAGTGATAAAACCATAACCACAATAGGTTGTGTAGGTGAGAAATTTACCTTATACACAAGACCAGCACTACTCAATTTAGTGGAGAAACCATGCCCAAAAACTTCTGCAAATCCCTTTTGATGATGATCATAGCGATCTTGGGCAGGGCCATACCCCCCCCCAACATCAAAAACAGCATCAAGACCCCCCAACACCTAGAGATCCACAATTAAATTTAAACAAAAACTTCAAGCAGATATTAAGACACAAACCTCCACTCCATTCATATGCCAAAGTCTAACCTAAACACACGGGAACAACTAAAAACCAACACCTGCAGCAAGATAAAAAAAATTAATGCATCTCTCTTACTAAGTATCCACTGCCCCTCCCACTTCTGCTTCAGTGACAACAACGTAATATTAAGAAAAGTCCCAAACATATCAATAAAGCATCACCGATAACCACACACATACATATCATAAAAGTGAGTACTGACTACAGTCTCTGTTTTCACCGTAACAAATCGAAAAACTTCCTAAACAAATCAATAACTCACTGGACCGCTTATAGTCCTTATACTTCCAGAAATTAAACACAAGTTTTTCAGCAACCAAACAAAAAACCATATTTTCTCATTAACCAAACAACCCCCCCCCCCTCCAAAACAAAACAAAAAAATAAACTTTGACGTCAACCAAATAAAATAAATCATGTTTTCACAGTAACCAAACAAAATAAAAACATAATTACTCATTAACCACCCCACCCGAACACACAGAAATAATAAAAAATCAAACTTTCTCATCAACCAAACGAAAAGATCATATTTCTCCAGCAACCAAACAAAAAAAAAACACCACATTTTCTCATCAACCAAACGAAAAAAAAAACACATTTTGTCATCAACCACACAATAAAAACCATATTTTCCACAAACCATACCCAAAAAAAAAAAAATTCTCATCCAACGAAGCCCAAAACTCATATTTTCTCGGCAACCAACACCCCCCTCCCCAAAAGAAAAAAAAAATGTCGTGAACCAAACAAGAGAGTTTAGATTGAGAGGAAAAGCAAACCTGAGGGTCACGGGTGCGAACGATTTGAGCGTTGTTGAATCTTTGAGTGAGGCGAATCATGAAGCAGCCAAGGGCCTCGTCGCAGTGAAAGCTTCCATGGTGCGTGCCGACGCGCTTGAGAGGCGCGTGAGCAGGAGACGCGGTGGAAAAGGAGAGCGAAGAAGAAGCCATTAGGAGAAATGGAAGAGTGTGTCTCTGAAATTGGAATTTGATGAATGGATTTGTTGCCGCAGCCCACATACCAGCCAGCCAACCTTCCCCAAAACCCTGCCCTATTATTTTTTCTAGGGTTTAACCCAAACGTTCTTTCAAATTCTTTTCACTTTTCAGTTTTCACATCCCTTCATTTTTTTTAAAAAAAACACTAAATTTAGATTATTGCAGGCATAGTTTTAAAAATCGGACCGGTTATCAAACCGGTTAAGATACTGGGTCAGTGGGTCAAAGGTTGAACCGGTGGGTCACTAGTTGAACCGCATGACTCAATTTTTATTAAAAAATATTTATATTAAATATATTTTATATTTATAAATTTTAATAAATCCATATCTTATTTTAAATTTCAATTTTTCTATCTTATTTAAAATTATTTTTATTTTTATTTTGTAAAAAAATACATAAAAAAATTACATGTTAAACGGTATATTAATACAAATTAAAAATATAAATAATATGTACATATATAATATGCTTGCAATTAATATCACAAAATAATATATGTAATATTTACATAGATATTGCATTATTAAATATATAATTTAAAATTAATAATATACTATAAAAGTTATTTAAGTTGTATATATTGCAAACAAATATATTAGAACAAGTAGTCATTGTTATATTTAATAAGACTCCTTGCTTTTTCATTAAGAGATTCAATTTTCATTATTATTTTTGTGATTTATAGTCCTTTAAAAAAATTAAAAAAAAAATAAGAAAAAAAAGTGGTTGAACCGGTTTGACCTACCGGTTCACTGGTTGAACCGGAAAATTGACCGGTTCAATCCGGTTTGAAACGGGTCGACTACATAACCGATCCAACTTCAGATTCGAACCGGCTGGACCACCGGTTCCCAGTCCAACCGGTCCGACCGGCCGGGTCAGTCCGGGTTTTAAAACACTGATTGTAGGTGTTGTTAATATGATAAAATATTTTTTTTCTTGTTAGAAAATTGTTTTTGGTTTTATTTAAAAGAAAATAATTTAATTATTTAATTTTTAAATTTAAGTCATATTATCATTTGAAATAGTGATTATTTTTAATTTAAAATGTAGTTTTAAATACTTTTTTAATGAAAATATGAAATTAGATTTATTTATATAAAATTATAAAATTTAATTAATATATAAAAAAAAGCCTTAAATATGTTTTAAAAAATGCGTGAATTAGAGTCTTATAAGAAAAAAATAAATCATATAATTTTTTTTTAGTTCTTTGATGGTGATTTTATCTTGTTAAATTAATAATTATCATATTTACCCCTAGACTTTTTGGAAGTATTTACCAAGAATTAGGAAAGTTGAGTTTTGCCTATCACTTTCAAACCAATGACCAAACCAAGAGAACCATTCAATCCTTAGAGAACCTACTTAGAGTCTATGTGTTAAAACAAGGGGGTAGTTGATAACTTTTTGCTTTTAATAGAGTTCACCTATAATAATAACTATCATTATAGCATTAGAATGACACCCTATGAAAACTTGTATGGGAAAAGGGGTAGGACACATTTGTGTTGGTGTGAACCTACAAAAAACCTTGTGTTAAGACTTGACGTAGTGCAACAACTACGAAAAAGGTTAAAATGATCCAAGATAAGATGAGAAGAGCCTACAGTATGTAAAAGAGTTATGCAGATAAGAGGAGGAAAAGCTTAGAATTTCAAAAAGGCAATCATCCATTCTTAGAGTCACTCCGTGGACTGGGGTTGGTAAGACCTTAAAGTCTAGAAAGCTTACAACTTAATACATTGGTCCATACCAAATCCTTAAGAGAGTCGATGAAGTATCTTATCAAGTTGGTTTACTTTTGCATTTGTCATACCTTCATAATGTTTTTCATGTGTCTCAACTTCAAAAATATGTCCATGATCCATGCGTGTGATTGAGTCGCACAATCTTGAGGTCAAAGACAACTTATTTGTTGAGACTTTACTAGTGAGAGTTGAAGATCGAATAGTTAAACATCTTAGAGACAAAGATATTCCCTTTGTTAAGATTGTCTAGGAGGAGCTATTTTTGAGAGTGTTACTTGAGAACTAGAGAGCAAGATAACAAGGCATATCCAAAGTTGTTCGTGATAAGTAAATTCGAGGACGAGTAAATTCGAGGACGAATTTCTTTTTAGAAGGGGGGTGTAACATCTCGATTTTCATAATAAAATAAAATAGGTTGTTAAATCACAAATCTTGAGTTAAGATAAAAGACGATCCCTTAAGTGTTAATGATGACAAACAAAATATTTTCTTTAAACAAAGTCAACATTCTTCAAAGATATATCATATAAGACGAAATCTGTAAGACGTATATATATATATATATATATATTATATTAAGAACTTTTAATTTAATAGTTTGATCGTTGAAATTCAACATGCATCATGTGTTAAATAAAAAAATTGTATTAAGATAACAAACGATCCCTTAAGTTTTAATGATGATAAACAAAAGATTTTCTTTTAAAACTAAGTTAAATTTCTTCAAAAATATTTCATATGAGACGAAATATATATATATATATATATATCATCTATAAGATGAAGGAAATCAAATGAAACATACAGTTTGTCTTAGGACAATAAATTGAATACTTCCAAATGAAACTAATATTAAATTCCATTTAATGTGTTATTCCTTAACAGATCGAACAAGAAAGAAGTTTCAGAACTTTCAAAGTTTATTAAAGAAGAAAAAGACAAAATATCCATAAAAAGCAAGAAGCAAAATCTCGGATATTACGGAAAAGGCTTTACAAAGTTTAGACATAAAAATTACATAAAAATGATAAGAAACAAGTGAGTTATGTTAGTTACACGATGAGTCTCATATTCTATGCGTTATAAATAACATTTGACACTTATAAGAATTAAGACAACCCTTAAATGGCCGAATTAGGTTTTGTGTTATTCATAAGAGTTATAAAGTTAGATGTTATCTTTCCGATGATACTAGAATCACCCAAAAAGAAGGTTTAGAACTCAAGTTATAACCAAATTAGTGAGAAAAGGTAAAGCTGTCAAGTGTAGGCTGAAATGCTGTGGTTTTATAATTTTTAAAAATAGTAGATGGGAGAATTAACTCTTAATGTCAACATAGAAGTTGTAGATGGGGTGTCCAACATTAGTAATATTTTCATCAAAAGAATAAGATTCAAATATACTTTTGGTCCTTGTAATAAATTATTTTTTGTCCTTATAGAAATATTTTTTAAATTATTATTGTAAATATCTAATTTTTATTTGTTTTTGTTGTTTTCTTTTAATCCTTTTCATATATGCATTTTTTTAAAATTTGTGTCTTTATAATATGTGAATAATTTATTTTTTGTCTCATTAAATTATTTTCCAAAGGGACCAACTCAAAATGCACAAAATATTATGAGAACTAAAATAAAAATAGATATATTATAAAGAAAAACATAAAATAATAAAAACCAAAACGAAAAAAATAAATTTTACAAGAACCTTTGTTTTAAAAAAATAATTTTACAAAAATCAAAGCTAAAATCACAGTATATTAGATGGAAACTTAAATAGTAAATTAGGGGTGTGTACATTGTACAATATTCCTTAGAGTATCTCCAATAGTAAAATTCATTTCTTTTTTCTTGATGTATTTTTCGAGTCCTTCTCAATCTCATGTAGGACTCAAGATTTTTCTCTATTTTATACTCTAATAATAATAAAAACTTAACCTAATTATTTAATTCATTTTTTATGGACTCACATTTTTTGTATTTTTATTTATAACTATTTATTAAAAATTAAACAATATTTTTTAATCTATTAACAACCCATTTTTGAGAGTTTTAACATAAAAATAGTTCTCACACCATGTCAAATATTATAATTAAGACGTATTTATGTATCACTCGTAAAATTTTTTTTTTTATGGAGATCTAGTTACTTGCTAGTAATAGGAAAAGAGACATTTTGTAGTCATATATACTTATTAAAAATATAAAAGTAAAATAATAATATTAGAAATTATATGGTGATTTGTAATTAAAATTAAGGAAGATGTTCGAGGATAGTTATGAGGAAAAAAATCATAAAAACATATATGCAAAAAGAGTGTATGTGTGTGTTTATACGAAAAAAAAAAAAAA